TCAAAGCTTTGGGTGCAAGAAACCAGTCATGCCTTCAGTCAGGTCCTTGGGTTGAGTCTGACATGAACCCTGAGGCAGTAAGTCAGTTTTGTTCTATAGCAAGTTGTGACGTGGACGGTGAAGCCAGGCAGACGTAGACTGTATTCCTTTTTCTGAACCCGATTGGTGAAAGACCAATGTGTACCTTGACGTTCTGCCTGAAGGCGCGAAGTGCTTCTTAGACGGTCAGCGACCATTGATTCGTATGGCAGGCATGCCCCAGCTTCGGCGCTCCGGTTGACACAGGTCCTCGCCAGAAGCAGAAGAACACCTCTTGCGTCCTCACCCTTTAGGGGACGACCGGTAGTATAATACTGACATTGGCGTGCGGTGATTGGGTGGCGGGTTTCCTGCACCTGTCCTTTAATAACTTTGTAAATTGCCAAAGGGTGAATCCAGTCCTGATAAAGGGGTTTCCGCAGGGTTTCCGTTCATGTTTGTTAAGCTTCTGGAGGGTTTCCCTGGGTTTCCCTACAGTTTCGCGAGGGTTTCCGCGGGGTTTCTGGGGGTTTCCGTGGGTTTCCTTAGATTTCGTGCGTGTGTTAAAACCTATTGGATGGTTTTGGTAGGTTCCTCAAGGGTTTCGTGAGGGTTTCCGTGGGATTTCGCGCAGTTTTTGAACTTTCCGGAGGTTTTCCTTGAATTTCTCTGAAGTTTTGTGAGGGTTTCCGCAGATGTCCGTGGGTTTTGTCAAGTTTTGCCTAGGTTTTTTAAAAGCTAAGGTTTGCGGGGTTTCAGTGGGTTTTGTTAGATTTTGCGTAGGTTTTTGAAGCTCTCGGAAGGTTTTTCTAATGTCTTGTGAAGGTTACCGTGGGTTTTCCATGGTTTTTGACAGCTTTGAAGGGGTTTCCGTGGGTTTCTTAGGGGCTGTGTGAGGGTTTCCGCGGGGTTTCTGTGGGTTTTCTTATATAGGTCGTGCGCAGGTCTTTAAAGCTTCCAGTGGAGCTTTGTGAGGGTTCCTGCAAAATCTCCGCGGGGTTTCGATTGGTTTTCTCATGCTTTGCGCGGCTTTGGAAAAAGATGTCAGAAGCTTCAGCGAGGGTTTCCATGAGCTTCCATGGCACCATGGATTTCCTCAGCGTTACTTCAAGCTTTGGAATTGTCACATGATGCGGTCGGCGCTCGTCCAGATAGGCAAGATGCAAGCGGCGCAGTGTGTCGTGCGGCTTTGCAGCGCTGCCAGGTGAGGTTGTGGAGGTGGATGCTGATGGCAGGGAGAATCAGAAGTGACGCGGCCAGGCAGCCAGGAGCCGCTGGGGCTAACCCAGCTGTATTTTTCCGCAGGAGTAGGTTTTCCATATGTGCTCCGGGTCTTTGCGCAGGAAATTGTTCCGAGGCCAGATTCTGGGTCCGCTTTTGTGTGCAAAAGTCACGTCCGCTTGTGCGTGGCCTCCCCGGTGCCCGTTTCTATTATGTTGATCACTTCCGCAAGAAAGCTGCCTGTGGGGGGTCGTTGTTCTTAAAAAAAAAAATTCTCCACGCTAGGAGCTTGCCTGTGGGTCAGAGTTGCTGTAGCGTCGCAATCTGGGGAGCGCAGGGGCTCGAAAAATGCAGATTTAGCGACACCAAAATTGGGGCCGCCAGGCGGCCCCAATTTTGGGGTCGCAGTTCCAGCCTTTTCATGTATTTACACATTATAATAAGGGAAGCTGGGTGCATTTCGTGGCCCCATTTTTGGGGCCGCGAGACGGCCCCATTTTTGGGGTCGCAAGTTTGAGCCCTGGGCTCACGCAGCTGGGTCTCGTCAGCGTGCCTGCGCCTGCCCTTGTTCCAGGAACCTTGGGGAGCAGCGTGCAGAACATAAGCTTGGGGATCAGGGGCTTGTCCGAAGCAGCTGCTTGCTTTTGTAATGCTGCAGCAGAAAGGGAGCTGCAACTGTGGAGGCCACTTTCATGCGGTTGTCTTTTAGCTTGTGTTTAGCAGCCCTAAATGTTGTTCCTTGTTTACAGGAGATTTCGGAGATTTGCGTTGTTTTGCGTTGTTTTGCGTTTGTTTGCTATTTTTGCAATGTACTTTTGCTTTTGTTTGCACGTAGACCTGTTTTGCTGGATTTTGTGCCGGATTGTTTTTTCAAGATGCCTTGAGATCTGCAAGACTCTCAGAGACTTTTGCTAATTTTTGCGCCTACGGGCCATGTGTCTTCAACAGATTGCATCTGAGCCGCCGCTGAGCGCTCTCTTGCCTCAAGCAGCTCCTAGGCCACAGCTAGCGTACTTGCGCCACGTCTGCCACGTCGGAGCCTGATTTGTTGGCCGAAAAAAGTGCCCAGACATAGTCCGTAGGGTCCATGTTTGTGCTTCCAAGGTGTCGCAAGCCCTTCGCAACTCGCTCAGCGAAGTACTCAGTGGAGGAGGTTGCCGAGGTCTTCAAGGGCCATTTTTGGCGATGCGAGAGGCTTCACATTCGTTGCGGGGCGCAGGCGCGGCCGGCCGGTGCGCGGCCGGAGGTGTCCAAGCTCATCCGTGCGCTGCTTGGTGGCCTAGCTGTGTATGGTTGTAGCAACAGCCATGCGCGGGGTCAAAGCTTTGGGTGCAAGAAACCAGTCATGCCTTCAGTCAGGTCCTTGGGTTGAGTCTGACATGAACCCTGAGGCAGGAAGTCAGTCTTGTTCTATAGCAAGTTGTGACGTGGACGGTGAAGCCAGGCAGACGTAGACTGTATTCCTTTTTCTGAACCCGATTGGTGAAAGACCAATGTGTACCTTGACGTTCTGCCTGAAGGCGCGAAGTGCTTCTTAGACGGTCAGCGACCATTGATTCGTATGGCAGGCATGCCCCAGCTTCGGCGCTCCGGTTGACACAGGTCCTCGCCAGAAGCAGAAGAACACCTCTTGCGTCCTCACCCTTTAGGGGACGACCGGTAGTATAATACTGACATTGGCGTGCGGTGATTGGGTGGCGGGTTTCCTGCACCTGTCCTTTAATAACTTTGTAAATTGCCAAAGGGTGAATCCAGTCCTGATAAAGGGGTTTCCGCAGGGTTTCCGTTCATGTTTGTTAAGCTTCTGGAGGGTTTCCCTGGGTTTCCCTACAGTTTCGCGAGGGTTTCCGCGAGGTTTCTGGGGGTTTCCGTGGGTTTCCTTAGATTTCGTGCGTGTGTTAAAACCTATTGGATGGTTTTGGTAGGTTCCTCAAGGGTTTCGTGAGGGTTTCCGTGGGATTTCGCGCAGTTTTTGAACTTTCCGGAGGTTTTCCTTGAATTTCTCTGAAGTTTTGTGAGGGTTTCCGCAGATGTCCGTGGGTTTTGTCAAGTTTTGCCTAGGTTGTTTTAAAAGCTAAGGTTTGCGGGGTTTCAGTGGGTTTTGTTAGATTTTGCGTAGGTTTTTGAAGCTCTCGGAAGGTTTTTCTAATGTCTTGTGAAGGTTACCGTGGGTTTTCCATGGTTTTTGACAGCTTTGAAGGGGTTTTCGTGGGTTTCTTAGTTCTTAGGGCTGTGTGAGGGTTTCCGCGGGGTTTCTGTGGGTTTTCTTATATAGGTCGCGCGCAGGTCTTTAAAGCTTCCAGTGGAGCTTTGTGAGGGTTCCTGCAAAATCTCCGCGGGGTTTCGATTGGTTTTCTCATGCTTTGCGCGGCTTTGGAAAAAGATGTCAGAAGCTTCAGCGAGGGTTTCCATGAGCTTCCATGGCACCATGGATTTCCTCAGCGTTACTTCAAGCTTTGGAACTTGTCACATGATGCGGTCGGCGCTCGTCCAGATAGGCAAGATGCAAGCGGCGCAGTGTGTCGTGCGGCTTTGCAGCGCTGCCAGGTGAGGTTGTGGAGGTGGATGCTGATGGCAGGGAGAATCAGAAGTGACGCAGCCAGGCAGCCAGGAGCCGCTGGGGCTAACCCAGCTGTATTTTTCCGCAGGAGTAGGTTTTCCATATGTGCTCCGGGTCTTTGCGCAGGAAATTGTTCCGAGGCCAGATTCTGGGTCCGCTTTTGTGTGCAAAAGTCACGTCCGCTTGTGCGTGGCCTCCCCGGTAACACCTCAAAGACATAACCACTCTTTAACACTTTCGAGACTTTGCTTTAGCACCTCTTTCTTGCACGCAGTGCCAACTTCATCTTTCGTCTCTCTCTTATTTGCAAACACCATCTTTGAACTTTCATGTTGTGAAACATGTTAAGTTTGTAAAAACGATCTCAAGATTGTAGCTCTTGGCTTCTAAAGCCCGCTGGACCTTCGCCCTCATCTTTTGTTCTTCTGAAAATCATTCGGATTTGTTTCAGACGCTTGGACCTTTGTCTTCTCTGGCCTTCCAATTGTCTTTTCTTCTTCTTGTTCTTCTTGTCTGGAAGCAAGTCTTTGCTGAACCAGGTTTGGATCTTTTCGACAGTGCTTTTTGAACCCAAACCTTCTGAATGGGTGGAAGACCAGGTGACCACATTGATATTCCAGTAACATGTGTTGCTTTGCGCGTGGTGCAAGGCAGGCATAAGCTAACCTGGAAAGAGAAGCAAGAAGTGCAAATGGCAGAGGCGTTGGCCAGGTGGATCATGTTGGCGGGCACGGCATTTAACATGGTTGGATAGGGTTTAAGGGTTTCGATTTTTCAGGGTTTAGGGTTTAGGGTTTAGGGTTTAGGGTTTTAGGGTTTAGGGCTTAGGGTTTTTAGGGTTTTAAGGTTTGGGGGTTTAGGGTCTTAGGTTTTAGGTTTGGGGCTTTTGGGGTAACCATGTTAAACGCTACGCCTGGCACGAAATGGTCATTCGGCCACCCGGACCTCTTTATCTGCAGCGTCTTAGACAAGTGTCAGAACTAGCAGTCGTTGTTGCTTGACTGCTTTTTCACAACAAGGCTCCGGCAACTTTGCAAAAGCGGATCTCTTCTTTATTTGCATATCATAAATGTGTTGGCTGGATTCAGATGCTTTTCCGTGCAGTGAAGAATACCTGTATGGTCATCTTTGGAATGCTAGAGCTGGTGGCGCGAAAGCTTGCAAATGAAGGCCCTACTTGAGGCGCTGGTGTTTGTCAGGTATGTTTCTTCATGGGGTGCTCAAGGATGGTTCTTCAAATTTGTGGGACAGATGCTTCGCTGGTGCTTGCCTGGCCTGTTGCTACATGAGAGCGAGATGGGGGGACTTCCAGCATACAGTCTCATGTGAATTGGATCACAGCGATGACGGCAACGTGGCATATATTTGCTTCAGTGCTGAAATCCATAAGACGTCGGGGACCAGGTACTTCGATGGTCGTCCCATCTTCTGGGTGGCTCCTTCAGTGGGCGTAACCTCAGACAATTGGGTAGAACAGTGGCTCACAGTGCGGACTGAGCTGGGATTGGATGCCTTCAAACCTCCACTCCCTGCTCCCGACTCTGCTGGTGAGGCCACAGGATCCACGGTTTCAACAGGCGAGTTGACGGACTGGCTTCGCGAGACCCTTCCAGACAGGGAGGGCTTGAGAACTTCAGCACATGTGCTGAAGGCTACTTTCTTGTCAATGGCTGGAAAACGAGGCTTCGCACATCTGGACTGCCTGGCACTTGGAGCTCACGCGCATGGGGCTGGCATGGCTGAGACGTACTTTCGGGAGGTTTCTGCCAGGCCATTGCGGCTGCTTGAGTCCATGTTACGAGAAATACGACTGGGTCTATATGCGCCTGATGCGAGCCGTGTGGGGCGACTGGACCCATCGCTGGAGGGCTTTACTGGCGATGCCATGGCGCACAACAATCTGGTTCATGGAACGGATGAGCATTTTCCTTTCTCTCCTGAGCCTCCTTCAGAGTTGGACGTGGAGAAATCTTCGATACGTGAGGCCGGTCAGAGTGAGCTCGGCGAAGGCCCCGTGATGGGGGCTGGTTTCCATGAGGATGGCAATTGCAGTTTTGATGAGTCGGCACTGATCTCGGGGCAGGACCAACAGAATCTTGGTGGTGGTGTTTTCGATGAACCCTCAAGAGCTGGCAGTGAGGATCAGCTGAATTTTGGTGTTGGCGCTCTCAATGAACCCCGACAGGCTGGCGATGAGGACGGCGATAGCTCAGAGTCTTCGGATAGCAGTTCTTCGAGCGATTCGCAGTCTGATGTTTTGTCTGAGGATGATTACGTTGAGGGGAGTGCTTTTCTCGGGGTTCCAACGCCACCTGAAGGATACTCTTTTGTGCAACATAGGCGATCTAAGACGCTTCACTTTTTGAAGGATGGCTATAAACGGGTTTTGGTCTGTGGTCGGATGGTCACGGACGCTTACGCAAAGCCCAGGCGAGATGCAATTCGTTTCGACACCTCAAGGTGCCATAACTGTTTAAGAGCGCATCGAGGCACGGTGAACGATGAGTGAAACACGAATGCAGGACTTTTGCATGAACTCCCCACCTGTTCATGTCGCGTCATGTACATGTTTGGCATGTGCTGGGGCGGGGGTGAGGGGGGGTACCATTTCTATGATGCGCGCGCGCGCGCGTGCGCGCGCGCATCATGAAATTTGCATGTCTTTTTCCAGTCTACGGCTCGAGTGAGCACATTAGGTGCCAAACAGGAGGGGTGCGGGAAAAGGGCATGTCGCTCATTGATAGTGAGGCCGCTCTGAAGCAACGCTGTGAAGGTCTGGGCGCTGAGGCTGTTCGAACGGCCCTTGATGCCCAGGGCATCAAGACCTTCGCATCACTTGCGTATGCATGCGGGACCCCTCAAGAGAAACCATCAGCGACCGAGTTCGATGCATTTTGCCGGCAAATCCTAGGGGCGGCGCCGCAATTGGGGCCGATTTCCATGCTTAAACGGCTTCATTTTGAAGCTGTTACGTATGTGATTGCGCAGCTGCGGCAGAATGTTGCTGGTGAGAGCAGTGAATCCCCAAAGAAAATACCGTTGGCTGAAAAAGCCGCAAGGGCCCAGGAACAGAAGACGCGGCTCAATGGCGTGAACATTGAGCGCTCCATGGTGCCATCGCATCACCTTATCGACTTGTGTGCGCATATGCTTGACCAGAATTGCCCTATGTGGATTGCACCCTCAAAATGCACCAGTCGTGAGTCCGAGTTGCAGCATTCCTCGAAGACCAAGGATCGTTTGTTCCGGTTGCAGGATCAAACGTTGCGCGTTGTTGATGATGATTCGGTGCCCAGTGCCGAGTGCAATTCTCCCATCATGCTTCAATGGTGTTGGCAGCGCCGAGGCTTAGCGTTGGATCAAGCCAAGTTGGTGGCTTGGCACGATCACGAAAGATGGGTGCAAACCCTCCTCCAAGCGTTGACCCGGGACCCACCTCCTGAGTGTCATCGGCGAAGCCTCGCTGAAATCATCCAGGCTGACAGGGAGGCGTGGATGATTATGGCTGAGGAGGTGACGTCCTTGCAGCCATTGGCTGATGGATCCATGCCACTCGGGACAAAGTTGCTGGCGTTGAGAACTGATCCCCGTATCCAGGTCTTGCTCATGCCCATGCCTGGCAAGGCTCCTGCTGCCCACAAGCTCGATGAGACTGCGCCATCCCCCGGAGCAGGTGACGGCACCAGCCGGGCTGCACGGCGTCGGAAACGGCGCCAGGAGCTCAAGAAGAAGGCCCCCGACGCTCCGCCCAAGAATCCACGGTTGACACCGCCTCCGGAGCTCGCCAATTGCTACCAGCGCACCGAACATGGCAGGCCCATATGCTGGGAACACAATTGTAAGGGTTGCAAGGAGAAGACGCAGGGCACGCCCCCTGTTTGCAGGCGTGGTGTGCATGTCTGCGCTTTTTGCCGTCGTGCCAATCATGCTTTTCCAGCATGTCGTGCTCGCAGTTGGCGCAATGTTGATCACTCGAAGACAAAGGAGTGACTAGGCGATACTGGTGTCCAAGCACAGTCCCTGCATGGTGATCCTCCCTTTGCTAAGGGTTACTCTTTCACGCCTGTTGATGATGTGCTGACTCGGTTTCGGTGTGTTGCCGAAGCGGAGCGTTTTGCTGCACATGTTCTGTCTTCAGGTTTTGCCAGTTTTGATGCTTTACAGCGACTCATGTTGCTTTTGCCCGGCGAGCAGCCTGCTCGGGCGTCGGATACACCTGTGTTTCGAGACATGGCTGCTCCCAAGTCATTTACCACTGGTGCCTATGTGTACAGTCAGAAGGCGGAGTTGCGGGCCAACACTTCGGCCTATCCTGCTAGCACCTTACTTTTGACCACGGTGGTGAGGTCCTGCTTTCCTCATCAGTCTTTCTCTTCAATTGCCTTTTACCAGAACATACGGACGCCTATGCATGTTGATGCTGGCAACGAACCTGGGTGCCCGAATTGTCTCTTGCCCGCGTCCGACTTTGTCGATGGACAGGTCTGGGTCGAGGGAGGTGGGGACTATCCGTCGCCTGATGGTTCTGGTCTGCTCGGCCATCTCATTGCAACCCATGCTGGGCCTGCTTCTTTCGATCCGCACCAGCGGCATGCCACTTGTGCCTGGTCCGGTCTTCGCTTAATGATTGTTGGGTTCATGGTGAAGGGGTGTGCAAGCTTGCGCGCTGAGGATTGTACCGCGTTGTCCGACCTTGGCTTTCAGCTTGGTGCGGTGGTGTGCCCGCGTGACCAGATGACCCCTTGCTCGTCACTTGCCCCTGCGTCTGGGCCTATGCCTCGAGGCGCAGACCTGTGCGGCACGTCTGACGACCTGGGCGTTGTGGCCGCGGATGTTGCGCCGCCCCCGGCTTCGCCTAGTTCCCTTGACCGTAAGAATAAGGCCCCGCCTCACCCCGCTGGCCAGCCGGCCAACCTCACCCCTAAGCCCCTAAGCCATGCTGATGTGATGCTCCAGCAGGTCCTTCCTGACAAGGCCGCGCCCCTTGTCATTGAGATCTTCGCCGGGTCCGCCCGCCTGAGCCAGGTTTGTCAAGCATTTGGGTTTCGCACCTTGGCAATCGACAAGACTACTCGTCGGTCGCGTTTTCCCATCATGCATCTGGACTTGACTCGCGAGAGTGATGTAATGTGGCGACCTTGTTTCATATGCTGGAGTTGGAGGCCGATAACATTGCTTTGGTGCATCTTGCACCTCCGTGCGGAACCGCTTCCGCTGCACGTTCTCGTGACCTACCGCGGCTCCGCGCAGCTGGCGGGCATGTGCCCCAGCCGTTGCGGTCTGTTCGGGAACCTCAAGGCATCGGGACTCTTTCAGGGGCGGACCTTTTGCGTGTGCAGCAGGCCAATCTGCTTTATGCTGTTGTGGGCCGGGTTGCCGCTTGGTGTGTCGCTCGACGCATTCGCGTCTCCGTGGAGAATCCCCTCAATTCTTTGGCTTGGCTTTGTGACGGCCTCGATGACCTTTTGCGCATTCCTGCTTCCTGTCAGGTGGTCTTTGCACATTGCGCGCACGGCGGTCGCCGTGACAAGCTCACTCGCTGGTGGTGCAGTGATGACCTTTTCCAAAGCCTTGAGGCTCGTTGCAGTCGTGAACATGATCATGATTCCTGGCAACTTTCCTTTGCCGCTGCTGGGCGGGCGCGGTTCCCTACTGCTGACGAGGCAGCCTACCCGCTGTTGCTTTGTGAACGGATTGCCTCGCTTCTGGCTGAGAATTACCCGACTTTGCATTTGCAGAACGCTCGTCAGCCACGTAGTGGCGCGCAGGTTTACCTGGACAAGCAGCCTCGTTTTGCTCCGCAGATGCATAAGCTGGATGCTTTTGAAGTGGTCACTTCTGAGAGTCCTGAGAACACGTGTCGTGGTCATGAGACGATTGAGAAAGAGGAGGATCAATTCAACGTGGTTGGTTTGATACATAGCAACTTTGCAATTTGCGCGGATCGAGCTGAACTTCTTACGGTGGCCATTCCCAAGGAGCCCGATGACTTTGTCAGAGATGCAGTGAAGGCCGGACACCCACGAAACTTGCTGGCTGAGAGTCGGAAAGGCGTGGCTAAGGAAGTGGCAAAGAAGATCGTCATGTCAAAAGATGAAAGAGACAAGGTTGCTAAGCCGTGCTTGGAGCGTTGGGCTGCGACCAAGAAGGCAACTGAATGCGCAGGACAAGAGCTCATGAGCAAGGCGCCTGAGTACATTCAGCGTGCTTCCAATGGCAAGAACGTCTTGTTATGGAAGGCAATATTGGAAGAATGTGATTTTCCGGACAAGGATCTGTGGCAGGCTCTCCATCAAGGTTTTCGTATCACGGGTTGGATGCCTGACACTGGGCTCTTCGTCAAGAATGTCAGACCTCCAGTAATGTCAATTGATGAGCTTTTGTCGCAATCCAGGTACAGGACGCCAGCCACGTTGAGGAGCATTGAAAATGAAGAAGCTGACGAAGCAGCTTTTGGCGCCTGGAAGGAGACGCTTTCAGAGCTAGAGGCGGGATGGCTCTTCATCGATGAAAACCCAAATCCTGTGGAGATCATCGTGGCAAGGAGGTTTGGCTTGCAGCAAAAGAACAAACTCCGGGTGATAGACGATGGGAAGATGTGCGGCTTAAACCTGACCTGCGGTCTCCCTGAAAGATTCACCCTTCATGGAGTCGATGTCATAGCGGGGGCGCTGCTGGAAGCCTTAGCTTTGGCTGAAGACGGCGGAATGGCGCTGCGTGGCAAGACTTATGACTTGGTTTCGGCGTACAAGTTCTACCCACTTCATCCAGAAGATCGTGCAAGGTTGCGGATTGCCGTTAAGGACGTGGAGTCGGGAGGGGTCGCCGTTTATGGCTCGAACGTCTTGGTGTTCGGTGCCACTGGCTCGGTGGCGGGCTTCCTACGCATCTCCGCTGCGATCTGGAAGACAGGTCATGTTGGGGGAGCCGTACCTTGGACGGCTTACTTTGATGATTTTCCTACTATCGTTCGAGAGGGATGCGAGGATCAGGTAGACGCCATCGTGGACGAACTCTTCGGCCTCTTGAATGTCGAATATGCACGCGAGGGTCGTAAGGCCACCAAGTTTGGGGAAACATTTTCTGCGCTGGGTTTGCTGTTCGATCTGGGTGATTCTCAGAATGGTAACATAACCATTAGACACACAGATGAACGTCGGCAAGAACTCGTGCATGTGGTGGAGCATTTCCTTGAAACTGGCCATATGACGCCGAAGGAGGCCGAAGCGCTCAGGGGCCGACTTCACTGGTTCAATTCCTACTTGTTTGGCAGGGCGTCGTGTGATGCATTGCACTTGATCTCAAAGCGGGCTCTTGCAAAGAACGATGCTACGTGGCTGAATGGCGACCTTAGGTGGGCTCTCTGCATCGTGAAGGAATATATGGAGACTGCGAAGCCATTAACCCTTACTGCTGCTGCAGGGCGTACCATGTACCTGTTCACTGATGGCTCATACGAACCTGACAGTGACATGCCTGCTGGTATAGGGGGCATTCTTTATGACGAAGCTGGGAATCCAATATTCTTTTACAGTGGGCAAGTACATCACAGTGATTTGCAACGTTTTTTGGAGGACTCGCATCACCCAATATACGAGATTGAGCTGTACGCGGTTGTGATGGCCTTTCGGATTTGGGGAGACTTGCTCCGAAATTCGTACTCTGTAGTGTACTTGGATAACGAGGCGGCTCAGGCAGCTTTGATATCTGGCACGTCCGGCACTGGTTCAGGGCGACGTTTGCTTGGAATTGAGGCTCAGCTGGAAGGCGAGATCATGTGCAGGCCATGGTTCGGCCGTGTGGCTTCGCATTCGAATCCAAGTGACGACCCGAGCCGAGGAGTGTTTGACCACCTTGTCCGTAGGGGGGTTCAGAGATCGCAGATTGCCGGCCCAATCCTCTAAAGGCATGCACAGGTTGTGGGGGGAGAAGCGGGTGCATGCACGTGTGGGGTGCGAGTCATAGCTCGTGCCCCCGTGTAGCGTGGGACCGTTGGTCCATACACGTATGACGTGTGCAAGTACTTCACCGCGACTTACCCCAGAGCCTCTTATGAGAAAAAAGGATGAGCGTGAATCCTAGTGATGTTGAATCATACAAGGGCATTGAGTTCAGATATCTGGGACCACCATTTGTGTGAAATAAATTCAAATGCATTGGGATTGCAACGATGAGAGTTTGAGTGGATTTCTTTTAAAGAATAAGTGCAACAATCCGAAGGATGTTCACTTTATTCTAGAAAAGAAATTTGTTGTTTGCCGGGGACGCAAAAAACAACAAACTCAAAGTCTCTTTCGGGTGTCATCCCAAGGGAATGCGCACAAGTGCACATGCAAATTTACAGTCATGACATTGCAGGGTTTGGTATTTATGCATGTGCGTTTATACTTGTGACTTGCGCCAGGGAATGCCACTCAAGCTGGGGCATGAGAGAACCGTGAGGTTTTCTTTCTTTTTTCCCACCCACCACCCAGGGAGAAGCGGGTGCATGCACGTGTGGGGTGCGAGTCATAGCTCGTGCCCCCGTGTAGCGTGGGACCGTTGGTCCATACACGTATGACGTGTGCAAGTACTTCACCGCGACTTACCCCAGAGCCTCTTATGAGAAAAAAGGATGAGCGTGAATCCTAGTGATGTTGAATCATACAAGGGCATTGAGTTCAGATATCTGGGACCACCATTTGTGTGAAATAAATTCAAATGCGTTGGGATTGCAACGATGAGAGTTTGAGTGGATTTCTTTTAAAGAATAAGGGAGGGGACCTTCCGCGTACGGCAGAACGCAACCCCTTCGTCCAAGCGCTTCCGCCCGCACTGATCTTCACGCGAAGCATGCACTCTCCGGTTATCGTTGTCGTTAGAAAATTAACCTGATCCACACCGCGCGTTTGTGGCGAATGAAGCCCCTGGCCATTACGCCAGCGTCGCAGGACAGGTTGCGCAGCAGAGGTGGGTCGCACGCAGCAACCCGCCAAAGCCCCGGACTCTCA